TAACAAAAACATAACAATTCCTATAGTCAGCTGATTATACACTAATGAAAACATACCTATGAATATTATATTCCATTTCTGCCAATAGAGCCTCCTAAATGTTACACACTGGACCTTTAAGCTGTTTAGCACAGTAGTTGACATTTTTTTACCTGAAAACAACACTTTTTCCTCCCCACCCAGAGTCTTCATTGCTGGAATCCTTAAAGTGCTATAATGACTACAAATCCTATGTCCACTGCGAGTGGAGTCAACACACAAACACGACGCTGCAGCTCTGGTTCAAGAAACAAAATGACAGGTAAAAAAAGTGGCTGGGTGGTTGTATAGACTCAAATCAGAGAAAGTGTTTCATTGAAAGATTAAAACTGATCAAAACATAGGATATAGTGGAGGATTATGGGGAATATGTCAAAGTTTTATGTGTCACAGCTCTTTGTCCTGTGTCCTTGCAGCAAGCAGTGTTTGCCTTATGGTAATGCAAGCCAGCACAGGAGGTTCCAGTGTAGATATGAAACTCGGGCATTTGCCATTAGCATCAAGCACACTGTCTTCTTCCTCAAAAATAAGACAGAGACCATCTGCTCATCTGTTCCACACAGGCCTCTGAATCTTTCTCAGCACTGTGAGTTCACAATCTGTCAATCAGAACTGTCATCTTTAATATATAAATAAAATGTGCTAATATGTACAAATTAATAAATTTTATGAGGAAATAATGTACTGAATATTGTTTGTATTCAGTAGTGTCATCCCTTTAACTGTGTGTTTTTATGTTGTGCAGTAAGAGCTCACCCACCAGTCAATCTGTCCACACACGTTGAAGGTGATGGAGGCCAGCACCTCACCTGGTCCAGCTTCTACCCCTCCACCTCCTCCCTGAACAAAAACATCATGTATCAGCTCAGCTATAGGACAGAAACACAGGACAACTGGACGGTTAGCATCAAACATACTGTATATACTCTGCTACCAGCTTGTGACCACATGACACGTTACTGTAGAGACAAATGTTATTTTTGAAATCATGAAGTGGGTTCTGAAAGATCAGCCTAGCAATTCTGAAATGTCTCAGTTCAACTGAAATTTGACTTGTCCATTTTTTGTCCAGCATTAAAGGACAGTTGTGCAATTACAGCTTCCTGCTTTATGTTTAGAAATGATAACGAAAGCAGTTTATCTGTAAACCACATTGGAGATTTCCTCTTATAGGTTCGCCATCTTAGATTATCTTAGAAAGGTTTGCTGTATTTGCTAAATAAAGGCATTGTAGACCAGAGCCAATATGATGAAACCTAACATAATTCTAATTCTAAATCAGCACACACTGAGAGCAGAAATAAAGAAAACATGTCTTTGACCTTGACTTAAATATGTTGTAAGCCAGATCTCACACACCTCTTTTCATTCTCTCGGCAGACTGAGGATGTCACAAACACCAGTATGAAACTAGAGAAGCAATTGTTGCTTCCGGGTCGCAGGTATGAAGCCAGGGTGAGGGCCCGGGTCAGCGTGGGTCAGTGGAGCCACTGGAGTCCTGTGGTGACCTGGCACACTGAAGAAGGTGAGTCCAAGTAGTGCTGGGCGATATACAAGATGAACTGGTCTACTGAATTTAATTTCCCGTATAATATGAATTGTTCATACCACCAGCATTGTAAATACTTTCTTGCATGTGCACACATTAGCTTCAACTTTGACATTTTTTAGTAAACCATTTGGCCTCGAAGATTGAATGTATTGCATCATACCGACCCTGCTCCTTATCTCCTTTCCTCACATTTCTAATCTTCTCCCTCTGTCCATTTTTATGAGAGCCCGGGAAAAGTCTGAAGCTTTGCAGCTGTTGCTATTAGCTCTTTTCTCTCTCTCTCTCTTCTGGCTCTAGATGCTGGGCAGTTTCCCAGTTTGCATTGTGTGCTGAATGGAGAGAAGGAGGTGATGTGTAGCTGGGAGGTGGACAGAGAGCTGGCTCACTTCATTACGTACCAGCTGGCCTGTCGACACAACCAAACTGCACCGTAAGTCGAGTGTGACGCTCACAATACCACCTGGTTGTCATTTATTCATTCACCTGAGCATCCCCCTCCTCTTCTCTGCTTTTAATCCCTGCCTTCAGGTCTAAGAGATGTTGTGTGAACCCAACAGTCACTTCTGACCCCAGCAGGACATCGCTGAAGTACAGCTGCTCACTGACTGTCACAGACCCTGCACATCTGCTGCTAGAGCTGCAACCAACACGCAATGCCAAGATTTTTATGTCCGTAGAACACAGTGAGTACAGACGCGAGACAGAGGGCACAACATTATAGGACAGATTGAGTGGAGGTGGGGAGGAGGGGGTGTCGCTCTGAGTAGTCCTGCCAAATTAAAAAGCACACAGTGGGGTGATAAAGCCACAGGAAGCTATGCAGACACACAAAGCTGAGCAACTGGGATGTGATTGAGGGCCCCCACCTAGTGTTTGAATGGCACTATTACGTCCCTGTTGGTTTATCACCAGGCAATAAGATTTTGAAGAAAAGAATTTGTTTTATTCGGTCATGAAACAACTCAAACATAACACACATAAATATTCACTAAAAACAACTGAACAGATTCAGTCCAACATGAAACATGGGCATACAGAAACACTTAATACTAAATTAAAACAAACAAAATAATGCCAACAAATTGTTACACATAAAATTGAAGCATAAGTCAGCAGCAGTCATTACTTATTGTCATTATACAAATACAAAACAAAATAAACACTAAATACATTCATCTCTATTCTTTCCATTTCATTAAAAAAAGAGAACTTCTCTGGACTGTATGTGTTTATAGGAGTGATTATGCAAATGTGTAAAACCTTTTGGAAACAAACAAAAAAAAAGAAAACCTTCCATAAACCATCATGGCTTAATGTGTCTTCTACAAACAAATGTCTTGTTGCGCAGTTCGACCCGACCCACCGCAGCAGGTAAAGGTGGAGGACAAAGGCAAACACTGGATGTTTCAATGGAAAGATTCAATCACAGCTTCAAAGGTCAAACTGCATTATCAGCTCTGCTATTACAGGACAGAGGATGAGGTGAGAAACATTTACCAACACTTTCATACACTTTTATTTTGAATAATGCTGCTCATGAAATAACATCTATGCCTTAAAAACAAATGGGCAAATTTTAGGAGATTTAAATTCTTTCTATTTTCAGGTATCTGTCCTGAACATTTCAGAGGGGTCCACGTCTTTGACCATCCTGGATGCTTCTCTGGTCCCGTCCCAGCACTACCAGGTCAAGGTCCGGTCTCTGATCGTCTCTGAAAAAGATTCCAAATTTAGGGGAATCCCCTCTGAATGGACTAAACCTGTGGCGTGGATCTCACACAAGGGTACTTTATAGCAGCATGCACACAAATACAGACAGTATTTCACTGATTCTTGAGGGAATTACCTTTTGTTATTTATTGTGTTTAGTCCGAGGTAAACAGCATGGGACAAAAAACGCCTCATAGTACATATGACGAATGATCATCATCATTATCATCATCTGTTGTGTTTTCCGTCCCCTCACAGCCACCTGGTCTCTAGCCACCCTGATCTATTTGGCCATCAGCGTGGTTGTGGCCACAGTCTTCCTCACGCTCTACTGCACCATTCCAGCTTGTCAAAGGTCCTATATTCATGTTTACTGGATTTGTGTTTCTTAATTTCTATTTAAACTTGCGATTAGCTGAGTGCTTTATTACATACAAGTCTTACTATTTGAAATATAAAGGTTATATTGCTTTGTAAAACATGAAAGTATCATTGTAAACCATTTGACATGCTTTACTTACATGCCAAAGAACGTTTTATAAATGACAACTTTTTTACATATACTAATATTTTGAACGAACAGGAGGGTCATTCTGTGGGTGGACTCAGTTCCTTCTCCAGGCAAAAGCAAAATCCTGTCTGAGATCAAGGTGAGACTTTGATTGAATCTCGCATCTTAAGACAAAAATTGTGTTTGTCTGATTGTATTTAACTTGTAAATCATGATGTATTTTTGTGACCCAGTCTGCCACCAGCTGGACCCTCATGCAGAGTGAAAACACGTCCATGTGCAAAGTGCAGCACTTCGACAGCATATCAACATGGTAGTAATTATGTTTTATACTGGACATTTCCAGACAGATAATAATAAAAACAAATATCTCTGATGCATGAATGAATACATGATACACCGATTTTTATCTAGCAAGAACACTTTCTGCTCTGTCTCTCCCTGCAGCTCTTCAGACGCTTCGCTGTGGCCGGCAGAGGACAGTGAAAAAAAGTGTTTGGAGCAGGATGAGGGCTGCTGGAAGTGTGATAACCTGCCCCCCCCTGCTGAGGGGCTTACCAGCTCTGACACATCCTCCATGAGCTTCAGCGGGCCGTACATCTTCTGTCAGGTCTGCGACTCACAATCGCACTCTGTGTAATTTGTCAAGTATCCAGGTGCTGAGAATTTTTCAAGCACCCACTGTAGATCAGACACACAAAAGCAAAGACATTCAGCTCTGAATGTTCCATTTCTTTTTGCTTTTGTGTTTTATAACTGCTGAAATACTGTCCAATATACATAATGTGTTCCTAAAATTGCATCCGACATTTGTATATTTCTCCGCCATCTGCCAGGAAGTGCAGAATACTTATTTGCATACATTGGTAAAAAAAGACATGTTGTGGTTTAACGGTGAGTTAAGCGCCAGATTATCTTGGCCACATGCAGTTGTAGGAACATGAAATAAACAACAAAGATATACGTCAATTAACAAGCTTTAGAGGTGCTGGTAGGCAGATTTTGTTACATTTGGACAAAGCCGGGCTAGCTGTTTCCCACTGCTTCCAGTCTTTATGCTAAGCTAAGCTAACTGGCTGCTGGTTGTAGCTTCAAGGGATACAGAGATGTGGTGTAAATTTTCTCATCCAACTCTCAGCAAGTAAGCCTAAAGTGTTTTCTAAAACTATTTCTTTAATTACAATGAAATCAAATCAAATGCTATATCAAAAACAATTTAGAAGAGCCACTTGCAAAGACTGTAGAGCGGTTTATAAATTAACAAATGACAAGAAATATTCTTTTAATTAGTTTGCAGCCATTAACTAACATACCTAACAACATTGTTTCTTTCTGACAGGCATCAGAACGAAGCTGCAAGTCAATGGATGTCAAGTGTGAAGAGGAAGAGAAAGAAAGCCCCTCAGATGACACTGCATCTCCTTCCCCTGTGAATTTCGCCCTTTACGGGGGAGGTTATGTGTGTCTGCCCAGTCGCAATGTCTCCAGGTCCACACAGGATCTTGTATCTCACACCGATGCCAACACAAACACAAGCAGGCACGAAAGCACTGAGCAGGACCAACAGCGTCCAGATAAGACATATGTCCAGCTGGGCCTCAGCGAGCCCACCAGCAGCCAGCAGCCTCCACCGGCCTACACGCCAGGACCTTTCACTCCCTGGCCTCAAGGGGGCATCATACAGGCCTCAGGGTACTGCCACCTCCCTATACCCCACATGAGAGCAGAAAAGTAACCTGCAGTACTTAAAGGGAGAGGACATCAAGGAGGCTTTCTCAGCAGATAAAACTATTTCATGTTTGCTTTTTTCATAAGCTTTCCACTTTATTTTAAGCTACTTGTGCTTCCATGTGAAAAAATGCAACCATGTTAATCTGACCTAACATCAGGTTGGTTGGCCGACCAATGGAGGGCAGTAGTGAGCTGAGCCTGTGAGTAAATGTAAGGGATGGACATTATTACAAATATACACATAATATAAAGATCTTAAACTATATATTTTTGTAAGCAGGGAAGAATGTAAAACGTTGCACACATAATCTAACCACAGATTCTCAAGAACTGTGTTGAAATGTTGTCATTTTATTACTTCCTCAAATTAATTTAATCCTCATTGCTGAGGTAAAAAGCTTCATTATGACAGCTGCATTTCATGGGGAAACAAGTGTGTGACTTTGCTGACTGCCATGTTCACTGTGGTCATGTATGCACTTTTGCACAGGGGTGTGTAAGTTAGGACCTTGTTGTCAATGTTGTAGCCTATGTGTTGCTGAATATATGTTATCTACACGTTGATGTGCTGGTACTGCTATGTTGTGTTCAAGGCATCATTTAAAATGAGATGACAACATACTGGAAATATATTAAAGTTACTTTTCAGGAATGCCATGTCCTTCAGCTTGTGTTATTTGCACTACATGTTTTTTTTTTATATTCAGTTATGAATGAGTAATCTGAGTGAAATAATGTACGTTTGAAATATTTGCTGCACGTTTGTATTGTGATAGTAAAATTGTCACAAATAATATTTGTCTGTTCTTTATGAATGGCTTGCACACCACAACCACACACACACAAACATAAACTAGTTTAAACTAAGTTTTCAGTCTTTACTAGGTAACTAAAACTAATGTAGTCTGATACAGCTGTCCTGCAATAAATACAAATTAAATATATCTCTGTTTAGCTTTTGTTTCACTCTAGAGTAAAAAAAACTTATGCAGAACTTGCACATTTCTATGGAATAATTCTCGCAGTCACATCACACTTAGCATTAGCACCTATGGTATTTTACTTGTCATGCTTTGTACTAAACTATTTCTCTCTCTCTCGCCTCTTTCTCTAATGCACAATGGTACACACGTGAGAATTTACACTACGTAACAACTTACAAAACCATGACAAACACACCTGTAAGGTGGTAGCAGTTTCTACCCCTCGTATTTTGCTTAAAACAGTTTTTTCCCAATGTCCCAAGGTGCCACATTTTCAGGTTAGACATGTATGTACAGTAATTTGGCAGCTGATAGCTCCAGATGTAGATATCACTGAGTCTGCCAAACTATGTATAGCTTGACTCTCACACAGACAAATTCACACTGTTATCTAATTTATTGCTCTGTTTATCTGCACATCTGTCTAACCTGATAGGGTTGTGCAGAGTATTCAGGGTCTCTGTGAGTATGTAATACACAGAGGTTGCCATGCATTCTTACTGTAAGACATTCATATCATGAACATATTGTGCTTGAGCAATGCATAAGTCGTTCTTGTCTCTGCGGTGAAAACACAATGCTGGAATTCCAGGCATGCTGATATCGAACTTCCTGTGTTTTCAGCCCATCGCTAGGTACAACTTCCTGTCTGCTGAGGTTGAAGAGCAGTTTGACACACACCAACTGAGTCATGATGCCCGCGAAAACGCTAAGGCACTCTCTTGGCCTTGTCCATGGCAAGTGGAAGGCGAGGGGAAGGTGATTTGATGTGTTTTCCCAGCATTCCTGGCTTTTCAGATGCTTAGCCCCAAAAAACAGCCACATTCCTCGCAGTCACCGTCAGAGGGCTATTGTTCTATTGGGGGGGAGGGTGCTTTGAGTGAGTGAACGAGTGAGAGATTCATATTGATCTTGATCAGTGAAAAAAAAACAGATAAAGGACAAAGGTGGGAGTTGATGGAAAGACCAGAGTTAGTGTGTATGTGCTTGATGACAGGGTTGTGTGGTCATCTGTGTACGGCATGTCCCTGTCCTTTGTCGTACATAAAAACAGGAAAATAAAAGTGCTGGAAGGTGTAGGGAGTGCGTGGCGCCACACGGATGCTTGTGTAACCTCCTGTTCAAAGGCCTTCTGTTTCCTCACTAGTGGACATCAGGGAATCCAGGCCATACCGAAACACAGACAGCGATATGTCTTCTAAGAGACAAATACATGCTTACCGTCTGGTTAGTATAATGTCATTGTTATTTGGTTTCTTTTCTTAAATGTTTTTGTTTTTATTTTTAAGCACTATATTATCTTATCACTGAGCTTGGACAGGATGAAAGATGAAATGGGTGACATGGTAATACATACATTTTCCATTTATTTTCTCTAAAAGTCTGAGATTTGTCCTCATAAACCAAAGCATTTTTTAATACCATAGATGAGTAATCATCAGCTCGACGCCAATGGAGGAGACCTCAAATAGAGGCAGTGTTTTATTGAAATTGCAGTGAGGCTTGATCACGCTGACTATTGCTGAGACGAGATGAGAGAAAAGACTAAAGCTTAAACAGGCTTTTTAGTTAAGTAACATTGAAGCTGCTGCTGTTCTGCATGGATTAGTCCCCACAACATGAGAAAGGCACCAGTATGCTCCAACTGAAGTGCTTGTTGGATGGTTGAACAATATAATACCCACAACTTTAAATGTTTTGCGTGTGTGTCTTGCATACTCTTTATGATCCAGCCTTTTTTACCCTACCTTTGAGCGTGGCCGTTTGGTACTGTTGTAAATGCTTTTGCCATTCGATGTTGGACAACACATCATATAAACTAGTTGTTTTTGAAGATATATGGGGACAGCCTAATATAAAAAAGATGACAGAACAGAAATCCTATTCATCCTAGCTTGTCCCACCATGGACCATACAAGAGACAAGGGCACACTTACATTAAAGAGCAATTTGATTCCAGTTCACCTGACTTGCCAAATAATCAAATAACCAGGCAAACATCCAGGAGATTCTGGCTATGAGGTGACAGTGCCCAGAGGACAGTTACAGTACTTTGGGACATAGGTTTAATTAATACAAAATTCTTGGGGTTTTAAAAAGTTGTCTTCCTATAATTGACAAATAATACAAGTAGCCAACAGTGCAGTGTAAATCCAAGGAACAAACCACCAATGAATCCCAAGTTACTATCATGTAACTGGATTGGAACTAATGATGGAAGTAATGATAATGGTTGGGTCATGGTTCATAGTCAGGTTGGTCTTTGTTAGATTGTTCATCAGGTTCGGGCCACGATGGGTCATTATATTGTTCCAGTGCTTGTTCGCTGGTTAGGTAACAGTGTTGTTTAGGCCCAACAAGCTATTTCGTCTTTTAAGGTCAACCAGTCAGCTATGAACCATCTCGTGTCTTTAGTCACAGCCTGGTCCCTCAGAGACCCTCCCACACTGTCATGGTGGTTGACCCCTGTGTGTGTTTGAATGAGCGTGAGCATGCCTGTGTGTGTTTGTCACAGTCAACAAGCCTCCACGCACTCCTCTTGAAGTCCGTGGGGGGTGGGGAGCTGCTCGGACACCCGCGGAAAAACAGGCATCCCACCTCCATGCTGAATTTGGAGATGGTCTGCTGTTTAGAAGTAGTACGTCTGTGTGAGATTGAGAGAAGGGGAACGGGAAGTAATGCGCGAATACACACTGAATTGAAGGAGGCACATGCAGGGGGGATTAAGGGTGAGACGCAGATGCTAGATAGCTTTTTGCAAAATTTGGTACAGACTTATGCAAATTATGTCAAGTCCAGATGAAGAACGTGGCTCTTTAAGCCCAAACTGTGTGAAGACCATAATTACAACTATGTACACGTAAATAAGCCCCCTTTATTCTAAAGAGGGTTAAATCTGAGGGTATTAGCATTTATTATGCTTCAAAACCATTCCTCGTATGATTCCATTTAGACAGGGGAGCAGATGAGTTCTTGACTCAATAATTAGCAGACATAACTTTGCAGCTGGCTGCTGAGTTGGGGCTTTTTTGCAGCCAAGAGTCAAGGGGGTAAATGCGACACACAAACCACAAAGAGAGTGTGTGCCAGAGTTCACCTACAGCACGACAACCCCCACTTTACTTTTCTCTCTCTCTCTTTTGTCAGATTGAACAAACCTCATTGTGCAGTGCTGAACTCTCCCTCAAATTTAAGGAGTCAATATGTTGTCTCTGGAGAGCTGCAGATGCACTGTGTAGACACAGCATGCCAAACAGGCTTAGTAAATAAACCCACCTGGGCTGATGAGAGAGTTCATGGTGTCATAAAAAGTCAGATTTTATCCTTATAACTTGAAATGTTTTAAAAAACACCTGCTGTGTCCAGCCTTGAAATCTCATGTAAATCCTCATGTAAACTGGGCAGTTGAGTTGTAAAGCTGTGCACACTGTAAGCAGAGGCTTGTTTTCGAATCCTAAGGATCTTTGTGATCCTCTGACTTTTGCTGTAGCGCCACCATCATCATAAGCTAAACTAATGTTGAACATGCTAAACATCATCAGCACGTTAGCGTTGCCATTGTGAGCATGTTAGCATTTAGCGAGTTCCGGTCTAACTGCTTGTGAGTCCTAGTTTTCCTCTCAGCGCCGCCTCAATTGGGGGCAACCCGTATTAAAGTCCGACATGACCCTCACGTCACCTCGGCCTATAAACAGCAGGTCTCTGGCAAGCTCAGGTCAAACAGGCGTAGTGCAAATACAGCATATGATGAATGATATATGCATCGTACATCAGGACAGACAGGATGCAATTAACGCCAGTCCGGACCAATGCTAATGAGTACAAAACCAAGTTTCATAGTTACCGGCTGCTAAGCTGTAAGGTCCACTAATGGCCTCAACCACGGTCATCAATTGTGGAGCCGGTTGCTGTTAAATATTCATTAATAGAAAAACGTTTGGGGTTGTTGTTTTTTTTGCTGTGTGTGGTGGGGTTTGTTGATGATGGGGGGGGACTGGAGTGCTGTGATTAATGTATCTAACGTGTTTGTTTTTGGGGGGAAGGGAGTGGTGCGCACTTTTTTGTGCTTTTTTGCTAGGGAGTGTTTTTAGGTGTCTTGTTCTGTCTTTAATGGATTTCTGGAAGGATTAATAATGAAGAGATGGAGATAAATCTTTATTGTTTGTATGTTAGTATGTTGTTTGTATGTTTTGATTGTTGTAGTTGGTAGTTTAGCTATTGTCAGGGGACTATAAAGATTGAATT